GTGAGGAGACCAGGCTCCCTTGTCCCTTCAGGGCCGGTGCCATGAGGAGACTGAGCTCCCTTGTCCCCTCGGGCCGGGTGCTTTGTGGAGACCGTGCCTCTTGGCCCACCTTCGGGCCCAGCACTAGCCCCTGCGGGAGGTGTGGGCGAAGGGCGGTTGGGCCCAGCCCACATCCCCTCCCCAGGCAGGCCGGGTGGGCTGAGGCCAGGAGTGCCGGTTGTGCAAGGCCCAGCTCCTTCGGCCGTGATTCACGGCTGCCCTCCCTGCCCGCCGCTCGCCAGCCTGGCCCCAGGGCACGGCTGGTGCCTGGCGGTGGGCGGAAGGCAGAAGTGCGACGGGACAGTGAGGGCCGGACGGCAGGGAGGGGACGAAGGTCACTGCTCCCATCAGGCCCAGGCATCAGCAAGAGGCGTGTGGGGACAGCCAACGCCATCCCAGACCCCTCACTTGCTGTGAGGCAGCCGGGGCAGGGGGAACCCAGCTCCATGTTCCCTTTGGCCAGGTCTCAGGTTGAGGTGCAGGTCCCCTGGGGAGGTTTACGCTCTGTGGCACAGCGGTTCTACTCCTCTGTTGGCCTTACGGTTCACTTGGGCATCAGGAGGGGTGGGGGTGATGATGTTCTGGAGCCGGGCTCTGCATCCTCGTACCAGACAACAGACAGAGGAGGAGCAGGTGAAGGAGAGGTGCGGGTGCTGTGCTGATCCGACAAGGCATGGATATTGCTTATCTATCTGCGATGGGGCTCGGTGTCACAGAATTTGACTTTCTCTCTTGTTTCTCCTGTTTTCCACCAGGGAAGGGAAACTACTGGACCTTGGATCCCAACTGTGAGAAGATGTTTGACAATGGGAACTTCCGGCGCAAACGCAAGCGGCGCTCTGAGCCCAACGCCCCCGCGACTGCATCTGCGGCCTCCTCTCTGGGGGGCCTGAAGGCCGAGGAAGAGCGACCCATCCCAGCCACAGGCAAACCATGTGGAAACAGCCCACCCCCAGAGCTGGACCCCTCGCCTTCTGCCAGGGACCATCCGAAAAGCTCTTCTCCCTCCAGTATCATTTCATCCACCCCTAGCTGCCTCAGCACCTTTTTCAGCGGCATGAGCTCCCTGAGTGGGGGAGGCAGCCGGCTGACAGGGGGTCTCGGCAGTGACCTGCATCACAGGAACTTCTCTGCTGGACAGCTGAGCAGTGGCACTTTCACCCCTTCCAGCAGCTCTTCTCAGGAGATGCCTTCGCCAGACCAGCTGCAGCGGGTTGCGGGACCTTCACCTGCCTACTACAGCTCCTTCCATCCCAGCAGCAGCAGCCAGGGAGCCCAGTACAACCACTACTACAACTTCACGGTTAACAGCCTCATCTACACGCGGGATGGAACGGAGGTGTAGGATGCTGCGGCAGCCAGGCAGCGAGCGCTGCAAAGGGAATGGGAGTTGCAGGTGTATTTGGTAGCACAGAGGACCATATGCTTTTGCAAACAGCATTTCAGTGTGGACGCTTCCCAGGAGTTCTTCCAGCAAGACAGATCTTCTCACCTTTCAAAATAAGAACACCCCTTAAACACCAGCAGAAGGCAGATGAAAAGTATTTTCCCCATCCTGGAAAATGTTAGATGGTTTAGATGTCTTGCCATCTAAATGCCGCAGATGAAAGCGAACTGAATTAATGTCTTCAGAGGTTTCTAACCCTGAATGTAGAATAAGAAGTTTAAAAACTATAACCATAAAGTGATAGCAGCAAGAGCCAAGTGTAGACATCCAGTGAGTCTTAGAAGAGAACAGGAGAAAAAAAATGAAGAGATTTCTTATGAAGTGCCTTGTACAATGTATTAAAAAAACCTCTTCTGCCAGCAATTGCCTCTGTAAGCCCTTGCTTTCTGCCCTGATCCTGCAATATGCAATGCATGGGGGGGATACTCCAGATAAACACCCACCCAAAACCTCCTCGAAACCCAGGGAGGTTTGCGCTGGTCTTCCTGTGTATGGCGTATTGTACAGCCGGGGCTGTGTTTTGTAAAACAGTCTTTCTCCCTGAGCTTAGTACCAAAGATAACTCTAGCCATGCAGCTTTAGCACGAGAATAAACACTGGGGTATTTTTATACATATTTGTACGTAATGTAACTCTTCTGTACATATGTTTCTATGTGGTTTTATATTTGTAAATTATGCTCTGGAGCTGTACTTATTTATAATGTGTTTTACACTTTGTTAAAGTTTATTTTACTTTGTTTCCCTTTCTTTTTTGTTGTTTTATTTGTTTTGAATTTTTGGTTGGTTTTGTTTTTGTTCGTTAGTGTATTAATGAAACTTTTCAGGCTGAACAGCTGTTGGGAATAAAATGTTAACGATTGTTAGATTTTTTTGCCTGGTTGTTCCTCAGTACGTTTGAGGTATTTTAAAACTCTGTGGGAGACAGGTTTTACTTTCACGTGGTTTGGGATAAAAGGTGCAGAGATTTATGAACAATTTCATTTGTGCAGTAAGACAGAAAAAACTGCTCTGGGCCCAGAGGAGATGCATCTGAGGTGATTTGCAACCTCGCAGTCTTGCTGTGCAGGGTGGGAACTCTGGGCTTTTTGTTTGGTTCTGTCAATGGTCTGAGTTACAACTGGCCTTTTTCAGCCTGGTTTAGTCAAAAAAAAAAAAAAGAGTAAAAGAGGTGGGGCTGGTTTCAGCGTGGTGCTAGCTAGCAGAAGGGACGAAGTCTGAGCCTGACGGTTGGCTCGATACATTTTGTAAGTTGTTTTTTCAAATAGGATTGCACCTGCTTAAAATGACAGGCTAGTTGAGAAGTCGGACCAGGCAGCTCTCGGGCCAGGCAGAGCCATTTACACGGGCACTCCTGAGAATTCTTCCTGATTTGTGCTGCTGGCAAAGGAGAATCCATCCTCTGATCATTTAGAACGATCAACACCCAGGTCTTGCATCAGCTGTTTGTTGGTTGCCATAAGCTGTTTGTTGGGTGCTGTGTGCTGTCCATAGAAGGCAAATATAAATGTCTTCATGAGGAGTGTAGCATCCATAATGAAGTTAAGGATGAAATTGCACCTATTTAACATACATGTGTCTGCCATGATGTCAGGCCATCCCTTCAGGCTATTCAGAAAGCAGAATTGTTGGCAGTGCGATGCAGCGCCTTCCCACCGGTTACCTGCATAACACACAGGGTGGTGATGCAAGACAAACCACTGGCCTGGTCCAAAATACAATGAAGCCATGACGAAACGTCAGATGACTTCCATGTGCTTGGCATCGGGAGTGAGTCCTTTCCCCAGCACTGGCCAACCGCCATTTGTGCAATAGCTGAGACCAGTGGGCGGGTGGCAACTCCTGCCTCACCTCCCTCCCGCTCACCCCTTCCCAGCACAGATACCATCTTCCTGGCTTTAGGGGTAATTCCTCCATGTCTTGATTTTTAATTGCGTCTCAGGTGATGCAGTGGTAGTGATAATGGGAGGGAAAGGGCAGACTGCCATTAGCAAAAAGCCAAGGTGGTCAGTCTTGTCCTGCTCGGGTTCAATCGCACCTTTATTTGGATTTTGGACTGCTGAGTTTAATCTAAAAGCAGTGGAGGGATTCCCAAGGCCTTCCAAAGATTTAGAGCCAGTCCTTAAGTAAGCCAGGAGCTGCTTACTCATGGATCTAAGTGACCCTTGCTCCCCTTCTCTGCTTCACCTGCCTGTTGCTTACCTTGGCAAGCAGTGGGCCAGTGTGGGACACTTGTATGTATCCAGCTCATGTTCTTCCCCCCAGATTCGTTTCAGGATTTACCCTCTGCCACTTCCTGTATGTTTTTGCAGACAGTACCCGTAAACGTTTGCTCCTGAAGATCCCAAATTGGTGGCAAATTTGGGTTGCCACGTGATCAGCCTCTGGCGGTCCATCCTCAGCAAATATCCCATGGCTCCACAGACTTTCCTGTGCCGCATTGTTCAGCTGGTGGCATAGCCAGCACCTTCCAGAGCAGAGCCAGGGAGGGATTCACCCCCTCACAGGGCACCAGCCGCGGTCCTGAGGGACCGTGGTGGGCTCCAGGGAGGTTTTGGCGTCTTTAGCTGTCCCCAGCGCACCTTCCCTGCCATTGGCACCAAACCCTGCTCCTTCCAGGGAAAGTGAGCCCTTGGCTGGTCTGGTGTGCTCAGCAGCCTGCCCGAGGGACACTGGAGAGTAGATTTCAGCACATAGACACCTCGTCTGCAGAGAGGAGCCAAGTGAATGAGCTATTGGCAGCCTTTTAGGTTTCCTTTTGTCATTAAAAGAGACTCTTCTTTTACCAAATCTTGGGAGAGGGAGGGCAAGAGGATTGAGTTTAATTAAAGGCACTTGGAAGCATCAGGGCTATTGTCCTGGGCTTTGGGGATTTACGGATGTCCCCATTCAAGGAGAGGGAAGACAAAGGCAATTAGCCTGCTGGTCCTACCCTGAGAGTCCCCACTCGCTCCAAATGCCAAGGCCATGCCCGGGATGGGCAGTTCTCCATGACAATGTGCCTCTGCCCAGCCTGCGTCAGCTGACAGCCCGGCAGCCCAGGGCATAGCCTGCTCCCCAGGAAGTCAGCGGAGAAATGCCCTTCCCTTGGAGAGCGGCTCAAACTTCAGGCCTCTATCCTCTTTGCTCTGGCAGCCATAGGAATCGCCCTGTAAAATAGCTCCTTCTGCTTTTGAGGGAGCAGCGATCTCATGGAAGGGAGGCTGGGAGCCCGCAGATCCCATCTGCTCAACGCTAAAGCAAAATGTTGCGGGAAGTCTCATTGCTCGGTTTTTCCACTCTTTCTAGGCACCTAGAAAGATGCCGTCTCATCTGGGCAAGATGCAGTGCAGCCATACTCAATGTGAAACCATGGTCATGCTGAGGACTGCAAGCACGGCTGCCTGGTACCGCTGCCCTGTGCTGCCGGCACCCCCCGACGCTCCCAGCCGGGGACTGTGGCTCTTCCAGCTGAGGTTTGCACACAACAGCTGCTGCAAAAGGTAGCTCCTGCTCGGAAGGAAGTGCAGTCCAAAGGCATCTCAAGAGGCGCGTTGGATCAGTACCACAGATACTTGCTGGCTTCTACGTGTGGCGCTCCTCCAGCATGGGGTCGTTTCACTTTGCTCGGTGCTGGCCTTATCGACGTGCCAGCAGAGGTTCAGGCAGGCACCCGCTGCAGGTCTGCACTTGAGCTTCTCCGCAGTACAAAGGCTTTGCCAGTACAGCTGGATCAGCCCAGTCCCCTAGAGGAGACCCAGCTCCCATCAACAAAGGAAACTCTTGTGCCAGTAAAACCCCCACCCCCAGCAACACCGAGGATATTGCGGGGCGGTGGGAGGGGATTCAAGAGGCAGAACACAGCCATCCGTGCCGGGTTTCATCGCCCGCCAACTCCCTTGGAAATCGGGCTTCAGTTACTGCCACTGGCCATGGACTGTGGTGTGCACCTCCTCTGAAGGAGGGGGCTTTTGATTCGCCCTGTCGTTCACAAAGTCCACGAAAGTTAGCCACAGTAGGTTGTGCCTGTACAGAAGTTTTTATTGCCTTTTTTTATGATGATTGAGGGTGATTTTTCCCTGAAATCTTGAGGAATAGTTCAAAAGATGTAGAAGAGTTCAAGGAAACTACAGATATCCTGCCCCTGCCATTGCTGTATTTCTAGCAATGGAAAATCTTCATCAGACTTCTTGAGGTAGGACCACAAGCCCTGCAGACCTCATCTAACTTTGAATATGATGTGCCTGAATCCCGTCCTGCTTGTTCATGGTAGGTGGTCCTGTCGGTCTCAGTCTGATAGCACATAGAATAAGAGGGACAAAGCCTCATTTTGTAGCTTGACCCAAGAGAGGCAGGATGAGAATCAGACCTGGCTGATGGTACAAGGATGGCTAATTAGGCATCTGGAGATGCCTCAGCTGGATAAAGCTGTGCCAGATGGAGACTGCAGTTGTTGGGAAGTTGTTGTTTCTCCTTAAGCTTTGGCAAAAAAAAAAGGCTACTTTTATTGTCCTGTTAGAAAATCCCTCCAAAACATATTTTTGTTCCCAATTATTATATTTCTGTGATTGTTGAAAGAAAAAAATATATGGATTTACCTTTTATTTTTCCTTCTTTTTGGCAGAATTCTCCATCAAACTGAACATCCGTCCCCCCACCCCCCACCATTTTCTATTAAAAAGAAGGTTGATGGAATGTTTTTGACCAAATTACCGAGCACACAATATTCACCTGGGTAAGGTGACGAGAATTTGCCCCTCAAGGAATAACTGAAGTGTAATGTAAAACATCAAAGGTGTTAGGTTTTTTTTTTACCTTATACCTGAGCTATCTCTGAATCATATCAAATAATCTTCTCGTTTCATAACACCATACAATGCAGGCTAAAAGTGTATGTGATCTGCTTTGTGTACTGCTGAATGGATGATTAAACTGTCTAACCTGAGGGATATTCATCCAGGGCCTGCCCCAAACACAGTGAAGTCAGGGAAAAGACTCCCACTGACTTCAGAGGGCTTTGGAGCAGACCCATAATCAGCCAGGCTCTAATATACTTCAGGTGGTGTCTACGAGACTGCCTGGGGACACGTAAAAGGAGCTAAAGATTGCACATTTGTGGATTAAACATCGTAGGCCTGATCCAGGCAATTGGCTGCTGGGGGAGAGCGGAAGCTGTCTCCCCCATCCAGCCAGGATTCTCAGATCATTTTCCCTTTCCTGCAGTCCATTGTGTCCGGGATTTATTGACAAAGCAAAGCTCTCGCCCTGCGGCCAGTCCACGTTTGCAATAAACAGTGACAAATCAGGTCAGTACCAATGGTTAATCTGCCCTTGGACCCTTCAAGTGGTGCTGATTTTATATCTAATTAAAGTGAACAGCGGAGCTGTGCTGTGCCATTTCCCTCCCAGTCTGGTTCAGAGGGAGGCAGAACCTACACCTTGCCCTACTATTTTAGGGCCACCACAGATAGTGATCCTAAGACACGCAGGTTTAGTGCCCCAACTCCAGGAAAGCGCGGGGAGTCAAAGCTAACACCTAGCAGAACCAAACTTGGACTCCCTTCAGCAACGTGAATGCTACTCAAATGGGGCCAAATTATGTTGCCTGTGTGGGGAAACTATATTTACGTCCATGTAATTGTTCTTCTGGTCTGGACAATGGGCATCTAATGAAGCTTCCAGGCAACAGGCTCAAAGCAGACCAGAGGAGGTGGAGGTGCCTTACTGGTGGGGGAGATACGCTGGGGGTCTCCTTGCTTCAGGAGGATGGAAGCTTGTAGGGAGGCAGGACAAGTTCATAGAAAGGAAACCCAGCAGGGGCTAGGAAATGCAAAGACCCCCATCTTTAGGCAGAAAGTACCTGAACTGTAAAGTGTTG